TTTTATTTGTCAAAAAAAAACAAATTTCCTTTCTATGAGAGGTAAAGAGAAAAAAGTTAACGGTTAGGAGTCTATCTCAACAATGAAACTAGAGGGTAGTCAGTTCAAGACAACGATACCACAGGGGCTCTATCCGCAATTAACCCTGCAAGAATTTATCCAGATGAATAAAACTTCTTCTCTGCTTTTCCTCCAGTTGTTAAATTTAGATAGGGCTATAAAAATCTAATTAAAAATAAAATGAAGAAAGAAAATTTAGCTTATTTCCAAACGAAAAGTCAATAAGCCACTTTGGGAGTTAAATAGACCTTAAACTGAGAACCAAGTAAACCAAAGATCTTATACTACTAGATATCTATTTAAGTAGATCGCTCTTTATCATAAGCAAATAAAGAAAGATCCATGCAATTATATGATCAGTTTCATGCAATGAAAACCAAAACGTGCTAAATATAATTCTATACCTTTCTTCCTTTGATAAGTTTGTTCTGAGCCTCTTGCTTTGCGCGGAGCTCTCTCCTACGAAGAATGGCATGGTACTGCTTTGCATTCACATAAATGGGTTCTTCCTCTGCCTGCTCATGAGGCAGTGGAACCCGAGAAGATGGCACCATTCCCATCATTTGGGGATGAATCTATCAAATTAAAATAATCATACTTAACAGAAACAAGATTGATAAAAAGTTGATTACAATTTGTTCAAGATTATTGAAAACTTTTAATTGGTTGTTAAATTGTATCTTTCTTTTAATGAAAAGCGAAAACTTGCTGGATCTGACTACCTATCGATGGTTGAAATTTGTCCAAATGATAAAGTTCACATATGATCACAAGTTCACCATTTGACTAGTGTTTCTATCAAGTAGACGGTGTCAAGTTCAATGGCTTTCAAAAAAAAATTCTCAAAAAACTTGTACGTGGGGAAAAAAAGTGGACTGTTTTTGACACTAGGATCCTTCATTAAATTGCAACAAAATTCTTGTTGCTTTTTCTACATTATGATTAAGGGGAAAAGAGGAACATAAAGAACAGTTGAGAGTCTATGATCCCAACTAAATTGCATACAAATTCTTACCTCATTTTTATTATCTTCTACAAATTAATGATTTGTTGGATATATTGACCCCAATATATAATTTTGATGATAACAACTTATATACTGTGTGTATTATTATGCACTAACATATCAATACAAATATCAACATCAAATATGATCAAGATATGTGAACAAAGTGCGGGATGTGCGGGATGAGTTCAAGGCAACAAGAAGTAAAGAAGAAGAAGTGCATAAACGTCATAACGTAATTTTTACATTTTCTTTACTTAGATTTATTGTACAAGCCTTGATCACTCATAACACATCACATACACACACATAGTGTTTAGAACATACTAAGCATTGTAGTCGACTGTAGGTTGTCTAAAAATCACTGCAGATAGCTGATCCCCATCAAACACCGATGGTGAAAGTTATAATTTGACGGCTTCCAGAAGGTTACAATTTGAAGACTTTCACGTAGATCGATGAAGGTTATAATCTGACGACCTTCACAACAACTGATGAAAGCTCTAATCAACAGCCTTCACAATCAACAGCGAGAGTTACAATCTGACGACTCTCGTATTTTTAAAGAACCAAGACGAAGATTACAAGATGACGGTCTTTGCAACGTTCTAGCAAAAGAAACTATAAATTAACGGTCTTTTCAAATCCAGACGCAGAGCTCACCTCTGCGTTCCAGATTCAAAACGCAAAGCTCGTGACAACTTTCCAAACTCCCAGAAGCAAAACGCAGAGCCCGTAGCTATGTTTCAGAACGAGACGCAAAGCTCAAGAGCTGCGTTTCAACTTCAAAACGCAAGGGTCAGCCTTGCAGTTCAGATTCAAAATGCAGCGCGATTTGTACGTTCTCAGCCGCTAACGCATGTCCTAACTCTGCGTTTCAGTCCCAGAACGCAGTGTTCGTGCCCAAAACACAAATTTTGCATTTGGCTTGTTCAAATATGAGTTAAGCGATTCTAAAACCGTTATCTCATAATTTTAGGGGGGGATTACACCCCTTAAACCACTTGAACGGTTTCAAAACCGTTCTGCATGAAATGGGGTTGGTTACACCCCATTAAGGAGAGATTTTAGGGGACGGTTACACCCTAAAAACCCTTATAAATGACGAAAAAACTCAGCCGAGCTGGGGATCTTCGATCTGGAATTTTAGAGATCAAAACTGTACAAATGAGAAGTTGGCATTCTTCGACCAAGAGCATCCTCGGTAACAGAGAGTTCTTGGAGCTTTCATCCTTGGCTTATTAACCGATTTTCGGTTCAAATCAACTTTTTTTAAGAATTTAAACTCGCTCTGAGTTATCAACTCGTCAAGAGTTTCAAACTTGCCACGCAAGTTCTTCTCAACGTCAATCAAGAGGAATCAACAACGTTCTACAAAGCGAGGTGGTCGGATCGTCAACGAGAAGCAAACTCGGTACGAACGTCGAGGGAGGCATCTCATCGCTACCGTGAAGAACCTAGTTTTAAACAAAGGGGAGGATCTCCTTCGATCCTCTTCTCTTTTGTAAATCGGGAATCCGATTCAAGAAGATTATAATTTCTTTTTCTAAGCCTGTTAGAGAGAGATTACTTTGAGAGAATTATAAATCATTCTTTATCTAAATCAGTTAGAAAGAATAAAATCAAATACATTTCTCATAATTATTCTTCCAATTTTCCCACCAAACATCGACTACGGATACAGTTTTTTCAAATTTTAAAGTTTAAATTTATGACTGTTTATAGCCGTTTGTGAACGTTATTTAGGTTTAAAAATTTGTCTTTTCAGAGGCTATAAATAGGTATTAAAGTTCAGAATTTTCCACCAAGATTCATACTCATACATATAAGATCAAGCATTTGTGCAAATTCAAGAGTTCAAAATTTAGATTTTCAGTCTAAGTGTTCATAAAAGTAATTTCTGAGATTGTCATTGATCTTCATCATACATACAAAGAGTTTAGGCATTAATCAGATATTAAAAGAGTTCCTAAGCCACTGTTGCACAACACCTACACTTCAAGGCTTATAGGAATTGTGTTTTTTCATCAAAGAAGGTTACTCTCGGGTGTGAGAGGTGATCTATTGGTTTAGAGATTATTACAATTTGCATGGTCTTGCAAATTGGTCAGGTTTGCTTTTGATTTTGTAATAGTTTTTTAAAATCATAGTGGAACTCTCAAGATGGATTTGCTGGGGGACTAGATGTACACCCGGGATGGTGGAACTAGTATAAATCTTCTATGTTTGTGATTGCTCAAATTTCTGTGATTGTTGTTATTCTTTCCTTGTAATTTATAATCTACTTTGCAAAATTTTTAAATGAATATTATTCACCCCCCCTCTAGTATTTAGTGTGTATTAGATCAGATCCTACACTTGGTATCAGAGCACGGTGAAAGATGACAACAAGTACATCACAATTCAAAGAGGGACAATCCACACAGCGGCTACCAAGTTCGATGGTACAAATTACAACTATTAAAAATATTGAATAAAGATCTACCTCCAATCTCTTGGCTACGACCTTTGGAACATTGTTGAGAATGAATTCACAATGCCAAACACTCCTTACACCAAATGGACTGTTGTTCAAAGAACAAATGTGAATATGGATTCAAAGGCAATGCATGCACTGTTTTGTGCCTTGGACAAGAACGAATTCAATCTAATGTCTACCTCTACTTCAACACATCAAATTTGGCATACTCTTGAGGTAACACATCAAGGGAACTAACAAAATTAAAGAAACACAAATTTTCGTTCTTGTTCACAGGTTTGAACTATTCAAGATGAAAGAAAATGAGACTATCACGGAGATGTTCACAAGATTTGTTCACAGGTTTGAACTATTCAAGATGAAAGAAAATGAGACTATCACGGAGATGTTCACAAGATTTACAGATATTACTAACTCCTTTCAAGATGAAAGAAAATGAGACTATCACGGAGATGTTCACAAGATTTACAGATATTACTAACTCCTTATTTAGACTTGGCAAAGAATACACTCAAGTTGAGATGGTAAGGAAAATCCTAATAGCACTAACTCCGGAATGGAAGAAGAAGACTACGGCTATTGAAGAGGCCAACGATCTTTCAACTCTTACCGTAGAGGACCTTATCGGAAATATTATACCATATGAAGTTCAACTTGAAGATAGAGAGAATGATGACGAACCAAAGAAGAAGAAGATACTTGTCTTCAATGCATCATCTGATACCAAAGAATCTGAGGAAGATGATGAGGATATTGCATTGATTATAAAGAAATTCAAACGATTTCTAAAGAAATGTAAGTTTAAATCAAATAAGTTTAAGAATACTAACAATGATTCTTCTTTGTGTTTCAATTGTAATAAGCCATGACATATAAAGAAGGATTGTCCACTTCTCAAGTCCAAATCAAAGTGCACCAATACCAACAGCTTCAACAACTTCAAGAAGAAGAAGAAGAAGGCTATGACCGTGACTTGGGATGATAGTGACAATTCATCATCCGAGGATGAAGAAGGAGAAAATGAAGAATCCGCCTACATGTGCTTCATGGCACAAGAAAATGAAGTAAATGATTCTTTAGACAATAAAGAATTATTAGATGCTTTTAATGAACTTTATATTAAATTTAAAGATTTAAATGCTAATTACAAGATTTTAAAAATGAAAATGAAATATTAAACTTAGAATTAGTTTTTTCAAATTCTACACAAATAGAATATTTGAAGGAATTAAATGATAAATTATTTTCTGAAAATAAATTATTAACTAAAAATAATTTTTATCTTAAATATGAATGCAATGTTATGAAAAATAAAATTTCAGATTTAGATAATAATGTGGTTTCTCTTAAACTCAAATATGAAGAGTTGTTTTTAAATGTAAACAAGTTTAATAAAGGAAAAGAAGACTTAACTAATTTATTAACTTTTCAAAAGTCTTCTAATCAAAAATTTTAAGTTTAATAAAGGAAAAGAAGACTTAACTAATTTATTAACTTTTCAAAAGTCTTCTAATCAAAAATTTTGTTTACGATATGTTCGTGAGAATAATGATAATGTTACTAGAATACATCATGCATCATCTTCTATGACTATAAATGTTAGTAAATTTCATACACCTTTATTAAGGAATACTTATGTTAAAAATACTCATAAATTTTCATATTCAAGAAATAATTATTATGCTTTATCCATGTTCATTTAGGTGCCTAAAAATACCAGTTTGCATGATAGAAATGTTTATATTTCTCATTTTAAGAAAAACATATGCAGTTCTATTAATTATACTTATGTTAATAAGGGGAAACCAAATTCCAAGTGGATTTGGTCTCCTAAGGGCTAATCTCATGGACCTAACATAAAAGGGTATCAATGCTTACATGTCTATATTTCAGGTACCTCAAAAAGAAAAGTGGATACTAGATAGTAGATGTTCCAAACACATGATTGGAAATACTCAAATGTTGTCTTCAGTTCAATACAAAAAGGGAAGAATTGTCACTTTTGAATACAAAAATAAAGGTCAAGTAATTGGTGTTGGAACCGTAGGTAATGTTGACAAACCACTAATAGATAATGTTTTATTAGTAGA